ATTTGTTTAGTTCTGTTTCTTTAGGCTGTAATGTTTATTCATAATCTATGATCGTCCGCAAAACATCCGAGATGTATTAAGCTCTCAACCTGTTTGAAGTGGCTTAGGTTGAAAGGATATGAAGCCTATACTATACTTTTCGCACCCGAGTCAGGCTCTCAACAATCTGTTACCAGAGGATCCTCAGCTACTTCGGTCATATTGCCCGCCGACAGTCAGATAACTTGGACAAAGTGATTGTGACGGGCAAAGTAGAAGGAAAGAGACCCCGCGGCCGATTACCTAGCCGTTGGTGTCATCAAGTAACCGCTCTAACTGGGTTGCCAGTCGCAACCGCCATTCGAGCAGCTGAGGACCGGACGAGATGGAAAGAGCTCACGAGACAGGCAACGGTCAAGTTTCAGGGACACGACCTTCAGCAATGAAGAAAGCGACGAAGAAGAAGAAGAAGAACTATACTTTCATCGAGCGATGCAACTATGCCTAAGTTCAAAACTGAAGGAAATGATTTTTGTAAGAAAATTTACCTTACTTAAAACGTGTTCACGAATGACAAACGAGACGAGGCCATCGATCAAACTCGTAAATCTTATTATGAATTTACATGATCACATAGCGTAGGTACGTTTCCGTCAGTGGGAAATAAAGTACCTGACTCAAGTCTCGATTACTTTATTTAGTCCTAAAAAAGAAAAAAACTAAAGATTCGTAAGTACAGATTGTGCTTTTTTTTATATTTTGTTGATAACCTACAATATTCACACCGTAGATACAATAATGCAAAACTTCAGTTAGACAAACAATTTTTTATGACCTTTGGGTCAGGGTTATTTATTAAAACAAAATATATCTCTATCGCAAACTTTCCCTTTCTAAAAAAGGCTATCTCCTAAAATATACATAGATTAAGTAAAAATTCCAAATAATGTCGCAAAAAAGTTACTAATAACACGGCATGAATAACTTCCACCTACTTGAGAACGAAGTAGGGAAATAATTTCAAATATACCATTTTAATTAATCTAATATGCACATACTATATTGTGTGGTAGGACCTCTTGTGAGTCTGCACGGGTAGGTACCACCACCCCGCCTATTTCTGCCGAGAAGCAGTAATGCGTTTCGGTTTGAAGAGTGGAGCAGCCGTTGTAACTATACTGAGACCTTAGAACTTAAATCTCAAGGTGGGTGGCGCATTTACGTTATAGATGTCTATGGGCTCCAGTAATCACTTAACACCAGGTGGGCTGTGAGCGCGTCCACCCATGTAAGCAAAAAAAAAAAGATTTACGTCTCATGTCTCATTGCAATAGAAACAAAAGGTGGTTGTGATGTCTGTGTAATCCAGTAGCAACTTAACACTAAATGGGTCGTGTGATCATTCACCCATTTAGTCCAATACAAAATATACATAATTCATAACGTAAAATAAAAGATACATGTAACTGAAATCATCATTACCTATCTCTTTGTAGTTTAAAGCAGATTTTGAAAACCATCACCATTAGGTTACTTACTGAGAAGACTCGACAAACCATATCTTTAAAACTAATTTTGAAATAAATAGCTATTTTTTGTCTTTTAATTCGCCTCGAAGCTAACAGTGTCACCGAGTGACTTTGTTATATCAATTATTTTCCCTTTAGAACAGAATCACTCATTAGTAACTGGCGAATGTCTATAAAAACAACATATCTCCTCCTTATAAAATTGATAGTAATCGCGGGCTAATTACAAAACTTTACCGCTTGATTGACAAGCCTCAAGGGTCGAATAAAGATGCATTCATGCATAACCTCATTTCGATACTACTGCCTGAAACAAATTATCTACATATTAATACGTGAAGCAAAACTTTGTATCCGTTTTTACGAAAATTGCGCGGACGGAGGAGTATGAAATTTTCCGCGCTTATAGAGAATATTGAGAAGAAGTGCACAATGCTAATATTTTTTTAAAATAATGCATAAAAGATACATTAAATCAATAAAGAAAACATTACACACACTACATACCATGTATTTGACACACACACACATATTATACTCTTTGTTTATTGCACTGAAGTATTGTCAAACTTTTGTTATTGCTTAAAGTCTGTAGTCAAATTGAAAATAGGTTAGTATTGTTTATCTTTAATATTACGAGTATTTGTCTATAGTGTAGTCTTGGCGAAAACTGTAACAATAGGACCATAATAATGTTGAAACTTATAATTTCATTTAATTATAGTCGAATTTCGACTACTGCGGGACCACTAGTTTAAGTAAAATGCCAATTGTTCTATATCGAGTAACGAAAATGAATACATACTACGTAATCGTATTTTTAATGCAACTAAAAAACCTCTAAAGTCACAAGCTACGTAGCTTATATTAGGCCGAGAAAACTCATCACGGTGTCATAAAGCAAACTCCCATCAGAGGAAGATAACGAGGTTAGATTTAATAAAACTATTTTATTAAATTACATGTCTGTAGCACCGTTCAGTGTGAAGCAAGCCGACAATCAATGGGCTACAACGAGAGCTTGTTACAACCCGACGCTGCGGGGTTTCCATTAACTTAATTTCGAAGATAAAAACCTTGCACTTGCCAAGCCATGTTTAACCTTTGAACCGATTGTAATAATGGTTGGCGAATAACTTCAATTAACTGTTTTTTTTTTATTCAATACAAACGGCCCGCTCCGGCTCCGCTCGAGCCTTTAACAAAAATTTCAACGATATTTAACGTTGTTTTATTTTTTTAAATAAAAGAACACTTATTGCGGCATAATTATTATATAATAGTTAGACATATGCTGTCGCGACACCTTTTGTAAATAATAATGTGTTCTACAAAGTCGTAGTACATTATTTTACTCTATCATCAATAGTTTTCGTAAGGGAACGCGATGTTAAGAATATTTTAAGTAATTTTTTTACACCTTGGGTTACATTATTGGAGTTTTAGTAAGAATCCCTATTTTTTTTTCAAACAAGATTATAGCCTGTCACTCGGGAATAGTCTAGCTTCCAAACAGTGAAAGAATTTTTTAAATCGATTCAGTAGTTTCAGAGCCTATTTCATACAAACAAACAAACAAATCTTTCCTCTTTATAATATTATAAGTAAAGTATAAATAATTTAAAAGCCCTATCGCATTTTGTAGTGCGATTCACGTACGCCTCTAAATTACTAAGGTCAAACACGAATCGATCTCTCAATTACATGTGGCAACAACGAAACGAACTCAATAACATTAAATCAAACGTGACAATTGACAGCACTATCACATTCCTCTAGATTACGGGCACAAAACGATAGTTATCTATTGCTTGCTAGTCTTCAATATTTTTTTCGACATAACCGAAATACACATTGACACCATCGGCGCACCTACCTTGAGGTGCGTTGCGGTAGTGTGTTACGGACTTTAGAGTCAGCAACACAATTAAAAAAGATTGTAATAGAGAGGTAAGTAGTGTAAGAAAAGCACGTACTCTTATTTTGATATGCAAAACAGCATAGTTAGCATGCTAACGTTTTATCGCCGACATAAAGCTTTCAACCCTTTCCGGCATATACGCAAGAGCGAGCGACACGGCAACATACGAAGCGACGATAAAATTTAGCATGCTAGAAATGGGCAGATGGTACTGTACTACGACATATGTCAATCGACGTATTGTCAAACGACAACTTTATAAAATCAGTGTAGCAACTTTTAAAAATGTCATATCGTTTACTTGATAAGGTGTGTGGCGCATTTACGTTGTAGATGTCTATGGGTTCCAGTAACCACTTAATACCAGGTGGGCTCTGAGCTCGTCCACAAATATACGCAATAAAAAAAAATAAAAAAAAATTGAAACACGAACTTGTCTTAGATTTCACACATCTAAATCACATCATTTTTGCACATAACAATATATTTAATTCCTATTAAAGTATAAATTCTACAAATAATTAATACTCAACAATATTTAAAATAAAATGAACCAAGAAAGTTTATCGATAAAAGCTAATAACATTAAAATCTTCTGGGCAGCACTAAAACCGCCATGTTTAGCGGCCAGATGACATCACAATGGCACGCATTTTTTGTTGACGTTTCATTTCCACAGGTTTCATACTTCAGTGATTGACACTGAACATTTGTGAATTCTACAACGAAGACCACCCAAACCGCGAAACATTGTTATTGAGTTGAGTTGAAACGCTTTACGATCGACGAATCACAAGTGTCAATGGTTAGATAGAGGCAAACGGGTCGCTAATCAAATGTGACAGCTAACTGCCACCGACATGTCATTGACGCTGATACAACTTGATACGGTTTAATTAAGATCAGCGAACATCGTGAATTAATTGAACTGGTTTTGATTTCGTGTTATTCGATAATACGTGTATAGCTTCGGTATTGCAGATCCCAGTTTTTGATTTGTAAGATTATTTGTAAACGAAACTCTATTGAAATCTAGCATAGGCCTTATTCTGCATTTCCTATCTATATAAAAATACGTGAAGCAAAAATTTTGTACCCCTTTTTACGAAAATTGTTCGGACGGAGGAGTATGAAATTTTCCACACTTATAGAGAATATAGAGAAGCAGTGCACAATGCTAATATTTTTTTTAAATAATGCATAAAAGATCAATTAAATCAATAAAGAAAACATTACACGCACTACCATGTATTTGACACACACACGCATACATACTATTTGTTTATTGTCAAACTTTTCTTATTGCTTATAGTCTATAGTCAAATTGAGAATAGATTAAATATTGTTTGTCTTTGTCAAGTGTAGTCTTAGCGAAATCTGTGAAGAAATAGAATTCTTTGAAGTAAAAGTCTTAGACAATAGAATCATAATAGTGTATATACAAACTTATAATTTCATTTAATTATAGTCGAATTTCGACTATAAGGGTACAACTAGTTTATTGAAGTATTATTATAATCATAAAATACATTAGGATTCAACGGCTGGAGATGTAGCACAAAAATACTAACGCTGTCAATAACCTTGGCAGGCACTGTCGCTCTTGTACTGACACACCACCGCCGCAGGTCCTAGAGCAAGGACTCCATCGACCCCATACGCTCCACGCGTAACCTGAACTTGGAGGTTCCGCTGTTGTCATCTGTAATTTAACAATTAGATACATCAGCTTCTAAAATCAAACCCCCTATAAATTAGTTTTCAACTGAATACGGAAAATACTTTTTAACTTGTGCTAAGGAAAGATTCAGAAGTATTTTGATTTTGACTGTCAAATCATCAATATAACTATTTCAATACAACTTAAAAAATAAATAAAAATTATTTAAATTGAAAGCTTCAGCCTCGAAGAGCTTTCGTAGATTTTTTTTTTTTTTTTTTTTTCCTACCTAAGCTGATAGCCCTAGCGGCTATTTCAGCGTAACCCTAACTTTAGTAGGTGAGCTCACGGGGCTCAAACCTGACGATGTTGCTAACACGAACCCTAGCAAGAGTCGTGCTTCGCAGAATCTACCACCGGATCGGAAACGCGACCCACTGAGAAGATCCGGCGAGAAACTCAGTGGGCTGTGTCTGAGAGTTAATTTACTCGTCGAGCCCTTCGTCGCAAGCGACGGGTTCGACGAGAACGGTGACCGGTGCTTGAAGTACCTAAAAGCACCGTTAGTGGATCGGGAGGATCCGAGATGACGTGTTTTGGGCGACGTCGACTGCTTTCCATTCTGTCCGCAGGATCGGGAATGTAGTTACCGGCGGCCACGATGAGAGGGTTCTCGTGTCGTGCCGCTTTATCGAAGTAAGTTCTATAGCCCTATTTATATCTGCCGAAAAGCAATCATGTTCCGGTTTGAATGGGTAAGCTCATAATCTAATTAAATCGAGAATTCAACTTTATGCTCCAGTGACTGCACCCAATAACAAGCGTAAACTAATCAGCTACCCAAATAAAAACGAACATTTTCTTACCTGTGTCGGCGCCATAGTTGTTGTGTTATTTGTTGTTGAATCTGTCATCACGATTTGCAATAGAGCAGCTATCCTGAAAATTAAAAATGAAAGTGCATTAAAAAGCTGACTTGTGAATCTTAAAACTTAGGTGCCTCGTTGGTATAGTAGCTAAAGAGACTCACTATTGTACCACGATATCCGAGACAATCGGCGTTAGTGTCTTTACAAAAGGTTACATCCGAGGTCTGTGTGTACTGGTCCTAGTTGTGTCTCACAGAATAAAAACAATAGGACGTGGTCGTTGAATTACAAATAGTCAGACACTTGTAGCCTAAATAAAATGAAGACCAGACCTCACTCAATATCCGAAAAATTAATGTGACGACGATCTCCTCCAGTACTACGTCTACTTTCATCAGTTATTTTATTAAGTGAATAGATAGTATAATGTTAGTTAGGGTTCAAAATCAAGTTTTAAGACAGGTGCTACTATGTTTTAATTTGTCATTTTCTTGCGCAGATACGGTAGACAGCAAGTTGGCTCTGCCCCTCTAATTACTGACGTCCATGGGAAACAGTAACTACTCAGTTGGGCCGTATGCTCATTTGCCTACAAGGGCAATAAAATATAAAAGAGACGTAATTATGTAACGTATTTGCTTTCTTGAAAACTTAATCGTAGAGCCAATCTGATTTTTTTCATACGTTATTGAACAAAACAACGAAATCTCGGAAAAACCGGCATGCGTTAAAAGCCACCACTTCAAAACTTATTGACATGCTATTTGTCAATCATAAGCAAGGAAGAGCCGTGCTCTATGTAATACGTGAAGTAGTTCAGTAGATATGGCATAGAATTGCTATTTTGATTACGATTAGAGTTCAAAGCTTGAGAAGTGTTTTTTTTTGCCCTGGCAAGCATACGAACATACGGCCGACCTGATGGTAAGTGATTACCGTCGCACATGGACGTCAGCAATGGCAGAGTCAATCCGCTGCTTACCGATTTCAACTCTAGACTAGTTGAAATAGTCTCCTCCACTTAGTAGTACTAAAACTAAAAAAATCACCCTTAGAGACGGTTCACGAGACATACAATTATGTGTTTTTATTGTGTGAATTGCAATAATATCGATGGGCACCGATCGATGTTGTTTGATTACTCATCTCTACTAACAACTCCATAAATGTGACATTTGAACTCAGTATAACTTGTTGTACCAACACATTATTATCTCCCTAACTCTGTTGTGACTGGCAACATTCTCAGAACATTATTGTCTGGAGATAAACAGACAAATGTTCAAGCTTAAACCTAACGGATAGACGCGTGGGTGATTCTGACACTGATTCACTTTGTTTTTCAAATTACTTTCCCAATTTGGAGTATTAGTTTTTTAGGGCTGATAAGGTTAGCACGACTATTATATAATGAAAAGAAAATGTAATAGAAAAGATATTTCAAAAATGTTTCGGTAAATGTTCGCCTAAAATGTACAATTTAAAGCCTTATACAACTAAAAGTAGAATTCGTTGAACAAAAGTATTGAATTCCAAAAATGTCTCATGGATGAATAATCGTCGTATTAAATATAACGATAGACTTTGTGTTTGAGTCGAATACTCGCTGGCATGAAAAGTACTTAGCTGTTTGGTTCGACCTAGAATATCTCTTCTCGTTGGTCGGTAAGAAGTGACTAAGGTTCAAGAGAAAATGGGCAGTAGTGTTCTTTGCGTGCTCCGATCGCAAAAAGGCACTTACTGCTATTAGGGCATATTGAATGCCCGCACACTTAAGTAGCGCCATATTGCCTATTTTTACCGCAAAGCCCATTTTAGTTTAAACGGAACAACTATCATTAAAACAGCTGATACTTTAAACTCATATCTTATTATAACACGCTGGCATTCATGGTTTGGCCTACGGTAACAATTTTACGCTAGAAACTCGTTAACCCATATCAATAGTGCATTAAATAATTTATAAAAAGCAGAAGTTAATAAGGTTGTTAGTAGCTACTTATAGAAAAATCATAATACGAAATAGCGAATATTTATAATTGGTCAAACATTTTAATTCTTGGACGATGTTTGTTAAATAAAAACTCGGAAATCTGGTTCGAAATGTAAATGAAAATGCGAGGCAATGTAAGATATTAAAGCACCTTAATAAACAAATCAAGCGAAAGACTCCACTCCACTCCAATAAAATAAATCATAAGTCAAACGACAGTGACATAAATATTTTCAGTAATAATATATCATAAGCATAAATTTTATCTCATATAATATCTAATTGTTATTTATTATTTTATGGTTGTAATTGTGTCTTGTCGCGCTTTAACGAAGCTATGCAATAAATCAATGATAACTGAGATAATTTCTGCTATATCACGTTAATTACCGCTCTATTTTAGGTTTAAATTTGTATTCAAAACGGTAAGCCAAGTTCAACTGAATTACTTTATTTTAGAAAAAGATTTTGATTCAGTTTTTATGTGCGAATATTTGTACCTTCAACTTTCATGGTGAAACTTACTACGAAATGCAACGGTAATATTGCTGTTGTGTTAAATAAAACCTTTTTGTTTTTGTTTTTAACTAGCAACCCTGTAAAACTGCGCCCACGCAGTTCTCACCGCATTGCGCAATCTGACATCTCTATTAGACGTCCATAGGCCATATTCCATTGGAGAGCTACACTCCACATTAAAACGATCGAACGACTCTGTAAAATCCCTAATGAATGTCTTAAGTGGTTTATTAAGTGCTGATCGCCGTTATTTTTATGATAAAATCGTTCCGTCTCCGAATGTCGTGCTATGAGAATGGAACGAGCATCAGTAATACGAGGTTTTTGGCTGCCTTTGTTGCGACTTTTCCCACGCAGGAATCAATTAGTAAATTTAATCAATACATATATATTAACTTCGAATCGATAAATAATTTCGCTTCTCAATCAAGATCTATATATTGCGGATCTAAATAAATTTCCAATACTTTATTGGAAAAATTTACTGGTGGTAGGGCCTCTTGTGTCCGCACAGGTAGGTACCACCGCCCTGTCTATTTCAGCCGTGAAGCAGTAATGCATTTCGGTTTGAAGGGTAGGGCAGCCGTTGTAACTATACTGAGACCTTGGAACTTATATCTCAAGGTCGGTGGCACATTTACGTTGTAGATGTCTATGGGCTCCAGTAACCACTTAACACCAGGTGGGCTGTGAGCTCGTCCACCCATTTAAGCAATATAAAAATCGCTAAAAGAAAAAAAAAAATTTAAGTATACCGTATTAGTACTTGTTAAAACAGAAGTAAGTTCTTACAAATTTACAACAATGGACAAAGCGTCTACAAAGTATCTATTTTACAAGGATGATTAAAACAAGCTTATCTTCCTAAATCATATGAAGTCGTATTGTCTGCTACTTTTGGAATTTAATTTAAATGACACAAATAAGCAATGCGATCAGGAACAAGGGAACTGTTACAGCTTACACTGCGTCATTATAATTTTATTGTTAGCTTATATGACACCATTGACAACAATACTGGCCAATCTTTTCCTTATCGCGCGTTGTGAAAGGGGGCTAGACGGAAAAAATTCTTACGAAAAGTTGTCACGACACTTTTTAGATCCGTCATTCTGACCAATCAACGTGTAGGCGCTTATCGCGTGACATTGCTCGTATCCGATTGGTCCGCGTAATGAGTACAGTTTCTCGAGATAGCGTTTCAACAATAGTAATTTAGTTCATAGTNATTCTGACCAATCAACGTGTAGGCGCTTATCGCGTGACATTGCTCGTATCCGATTGGTCCGCGTAATGAGTACAGTTTCTCGAGATAGCGTTTCAACAATAGTAATTTAGTTCATAGTATTGTTTTTTCTTCTTCATAATGCCGTAATTTATTATTATAACTTTAAAAAAAAATTACAATTCCTTCACTAATTAATCGAAAGGAACTTTGTTCCATCCGGGTGTCCCTTGACACCTCTGAAGTTTTTTCTTATTCCTGCCCTTATTCCACTTTAGGTGGGTTCAGTGCAGGCGTGTCCTCTTATCATGCTGCATAGGGATTTGTCAAGAGTTTGTTGGCATATTTACGGCATGGTTTATGTTTCATAACGTGACATTGTCCAATATGATACTAACATTTTCATGAAATAAGACTCACTGAAATAAAACTATAATTAGACATCGCAAGACTCATTCATTATTATCTGCGCATTCTCTATCTCGTGCAATATAAATCAAAATAAACAAGGGTCATTAATCTACAGTAAAGTTAAGATAAACATGTCAATATTACTAATTGGATTTATAGAGACCGCGCCGCCGCCGCCACTACCACACAAATATAATTACTCCATGTCTCCTGTAACACAGTGACACATTAGCGATACAATTTTAGAAATGTGAAAGATCTATTCTTTTTGTTGCTCTAAGTCTTTGTACAAGCCAATAAATTTCAAAATGCAAATGTCGCTATCGATCTTGAGACGTAAATCGGAACGCATGACTGCATCTCTGTAGAAATAGGTAAATAGTATTATTACCTACCGCTGAGTGCTAAATAACACTCCTTATCCTCAGTAAATAGGAACAATAATTGTTATTTGTAACTCTGACAAGATAGCCGAATTTCCGGTACATTGATTAACTAACAAAAGTTATTAATAAATACAAGACAAGATTTATTGTTGAATATCTTAATTATTCTCTAGCATATTTTGTGATTCCTTGACTCTTTCACGGTAAGTATGCCTCATGCACGCTATAACAATTACGAAGTCCCATGAGACAGATTTTATTATTATGTTATTGTGTGTGTGTGAATTAATTGTATAATGATTAAGATTGATTGTGTATTTTTTAGATAATGTTTACGACCACGAACAAAAAACTATTATTATTTCAAATCATGCGAAACGTGAAGAGTTACGTTCTTAGAAGTGTCAAAAGGGAATTCGTAATTGGAATAAAGTATAATTTTTACCCAACACCTTACAAAGGCCCTTTTGACCTATGAAGCGATGTGCTGACAAATTATTCTATAATATACCGAATATACAGAATTACTTAATTTC